ACTTTTAGTAGTTTTTTTATGGGTTTTACTTCTCTCATGTTGTATGAGAGAAGTTATCTCATATTGTGAGATAAATTAAGTGGGGTTCACCATTTAAAAAAAAAAAAAAAAGAGACACGACTTTTTATGTGAGTATAAAATGAGAGAAGAATCTTATGTAACATAAGAGTATAATTTTCCTTCTTTTATTGATAGGTAATATGTAATATATAGCTTCTAATTACCACATACTATGACCATGGAATGAGGAATTTCTCGTCCCCTGAATTTCCTTTTTTTTTTTTTTTTTTTTATATATATCTTTGATTTTAGTTAAGAAAGAGTGACATTTGTTTGAACAAATAATTTTATCGACCTCTATGAACTATGTAGTACATAATATAGGTTATTAATTTATGGGAAAAAGGTTTGTACTTTAAAATGATATAAGGTTGTGCTTTTTTAATTTTTAATATTATGTATTACGGGTAGTACATAATTATAATATGAAAAAAAAATCTCTTCTCAGTCACTTCAGTTGACAAAAAAAAGTAAATTTTCATATTATAATTATGTACTACCCGTGATATATAGTGTAAAAAATTAAAATGACACAACATGTGTCCTTTAAAAGGACACACAATTCACTTAACCCTTAACTTATCTTGTTATTATATTTTATCCTATCTTCACATGTTACCATAATTTTATTGTTAATGTGTTCAAATTTTTAAATTAAAATAATATTAAGTAAGTTACTTTTTCAACCTTGAACGTTTATCCCATTTATATTTAACAATTCTAATCGTTTAGTTACGTGAGATATTAGATATAAATGAAGGTATAATCAAGATTAAGTGTAAAAGTTCTTATTTTTACATAGTTGTAAGAATATTTTGTCTCGATTTTTAAGTATATATATAAAAAAACTTGTTATGATAAATTTTAAATTGTGAACTATATATTTTTATTTGAATAATTATATATCTTCTAATTTATCCTGATAATAATATTTATGATTATTAAATAAAATAAGTATTATACTTGTTATATTTTCGAGATATTAAATTTTTTATATTTTTATTAAATACTTGTTTTATTTAATCGAAGAGCACTTGTTAGCAAGTTCTTTTCAACTAATTGATTTCATTCTTATATATGAAATTAAGTAAATAAAACAATTCGATTATGCATCTTTCATGATTATTATTCTCTTTGAACAAATTATAAGGCTAAAGTCAAAAGTTTTTATAAAAAGAGGTTGGGTTAGCTTTTCCGTCAAGATGCTAGTCTCTACCTATCCAATCCTCTAGGACATATTCTACATATTCACTTAGTATATTAAGAGAAAAAAAAAACTAATTTCTCTACGAATAGGTTATTTTACTTACCTTTTTTTCATATCTATTTTATATATCACTCTCCAACATAATTATATTAGAATCTCAAAAAGAGAGAAAAATGATAAATGTTAGTTGAGATTCTGAACTAAAATTATTAGAGAGTGGTAAGTAAAATAGGAATAAAAAGTAATAAAATAACATATTTCATTTCTTTAAGGATTTAATGTCTTTCATGTTATAGAAAATAAATTTTATTTCTTACACACGTATAAAAGTGTGTGTGACTTTTTTTTGTTCTCTTCTCTTTATATAGTCCCACATAAATCTCATATATATATATATATATATATATATATATATATATATATATTATATATATATATATAAAAGAGATAATCTTATTGCCTATCACAAAAGAAACATCAAACCCTTTCTTTAAATGCTGATTAAATGTTCAAATCAAAATATTGATATGATTAATGATGCCTTATAAGAAACGATTATTTATTATATTCAATTGTACGAGCCCTTAATTCTTTCAAATGTATGATAGCTAGTTGAGATAAGGATAATAATCCTCCACCAATGGCAGTGATTTGAGAGATTCTAGAATTTTGAGTTGCAATACTCCAATTACCGCTGAAATTAGCAATACTATATATGGAGTTAGTGTAGCGAATTAAATCAATTCTTTATGTAAAATAATCAAATAAACTGTTTCAAATCTATGTTAATATTTTGTATTTAATCATGATTATATAGTGTTGCTCTTTCTAAAATTTTATTTATTAAAAGAACACATGGAAAAGGAATAATGTTTCATTTGGATTGCAAGTATGAACATAAGGAAGAATTACAGAAAGGGTTTTCGTTTTATCCTTTAACATAACACAACAAACTTTCCTACTCTCACAACATTTTGTGGGGTCCACACTTTTTAAAACAAAAAAAAAATAAAAAATTAAAGCACGCAAAACGAATCTTTATAACATTACACAATCACTTTTCCTCCAACATAACTCTTATAAAACCCTTACAGAAATATATGTAACTTCATATCATCTAAATTAAATATCTTTCTTGGTTATCACCAAATATATATATATATATATATATATATTTTGGTAGAATAAATCGGGAATCACGAATTGGAACAATCATTCCCTCATTGTACGCATTCAAACATTAAGGACAAAGCAAGCACATGTCGGAGAACAAGACTAACGACTACTTGAGAAACTTCCTCAATCCACACACACTTTGATTTTCCCTCAACTCCGCCAACAAGCTAGCCATAGCAACACACGACAAATGACCCCAATCTCAATCAATTTTGTATTCGAAATCCAATCAAATTGCATCCATATGAACTCCCAAACTGTGCGAATTGACAAGAAATAATTTAACCAGCTTGAAAGTTTATTATAAACCAGCATGAGTTGTGACCTTCTGGAGGTATGATAAAAAAATTAAAAGATTATTTAAAAAAAAAAGTATTATTTTTTCTTTGAATAATTAGAACTAGTTGATAGAGAATATTAACTATTTATTAAGCAAGATCCTTCGACTTTTCGTTTGAGAAGACAATTTCTTCCTTTGTTACATAAAATGAACGAAATTCTGCACCACAATTACGTTCTAAGTTTGACGAATTTGAAGCCTACATTAGTGACTTTCCCTGCAAGTTCGGGACCAACAGATATTGTACACGTTAAGTAATCACATGACGTTCGCTTGTTGTCTTGGTTTGGAGTTGGCTTACAAGCATCAAATGTGATAATGAGAAAGACGCAAAGGAAACCACATGTATAAGGGTATAAAAGAGTTGTATACCAAAAAAAAAAGGGTTGGAAATAGATACTCTAATGTGAGAAAAAACATGATATAGTGATGTGAGAATATCATAACCATACAAAGGTAAATCAACGGTTATAATTTTGTAACTACCAAATTTGATATTTTCTCTCTCTCTCCTCCTTTATTACCGTTGATCCACCTTTGTATGTTTATGATTTCCCACATTAAACGGTCATGTGATTTTTCACATTAGAGGATCCGAATCCAATAAAGCATGTTCAACCTTTTAAAAAAATCTATTTAGAAAGTAGGCTAGAGCCTTTTATGTATATGTCGGGCCTATAAATTTACAGGTCAGCCTATATCATATTATTTATTTTATATAAAATAAAAAAATTATTTTTAATAATTTTAAATAATAAAATAGGAAAATAATTTTCTTATGTTGTAGGAAAATAGTTATCTTATGTTGTAGAAACAAGATTGTAAGTGGGACCTATGGGTAAGAGGAGAGAGAAAAAAGAAGAAGTGGGACCCACCCATCTTTTGTGTGTGTAGAAAATTTAGTTATCTCATGCGAAATGAGATAAATATAACGCAATAAAATAATATTATTTTAGTTATTTTTTAATTATTGAATGTTTAATAGGCTTAAACAGGTAGGGGTGTTCGCGGTCTGGATTGGATCGGTTTTGGAAGCAAAAATCATCTGATTCAATCCATTCGGTTTGAATTTTTTTTCAAATCCAATTCGATTCAATCCAATTTTTTCGGTTTGAATTGGATCGGTTTTTGGTTTTTTGAAAATCATAAAATTTGTTTCATGATTATTATGCAAATAACACTTTTGTATATATTGGCTTGGTAATTTTTTTTTTGAAATACAAAAGCATCAGTAAACGATAATATAGTTTTTTTTTGGACAATGAGATATGAAGCTCTACATAGATAAAATTTTGTTGATGAGATGTGGCTAGATTTTTTCTTGAGTTCAGTTGATGGGTTAATGGAACTTGGATTTAAAAATTTTTGAGCTATGATGGGGAAAGGCCCAAGTATGTAGAGTGAAATTAATATATTGGATCGATTTGGATTGGATTGGTTTTCATTAATCCATCCGAAAATCGATCAAATCCAATTAAAATTTGTGGTTTTTTATTTTTCAATTTTCGATTTATTCGGTTATCGATATTTCGATTCGGTCACCGCAGTTTGAATCGATTTGGATCGGTTGATGAGCACCTCTATAAAAATGTTAATAGACTAAGGCCAAAATTTTTATTTTTTAAATATAAATTACGCCTGACATGTAATTTAAGCCTACGCATGCTAATAAGTCAGTCCATATTTAAGGTTTTATACATATATCTAACCTATTTAAGGCGCAATCTAATGTAACGCAACCTATTCACACCCTAACGACATTCAACCATATCATTGAATTGATCAGTCGGTGAAATTGCTATAATCGAAATTTGAACATGTATTAAAAAACAAAACAAAATTGGAACACCGGTCGATCCTTAAACCCTTTTAAAAAACTAATAAATCGGTTCTAAATGAATTGAACTAATACTAATTTTGTGAGTTGAACTAATTAGTTTTACTTTTTGCAAAATGTCTAATGAACTAATTAATATTACATGTTGATTATAATGTTTGTATTATTATATTTATTAGATGTTTATATATATTTAGTTTAACACATTCAATAATGACTAACCAATTAAATTGGAGACCCAATACCTCTAATGAATAGGACCACCGAATTTAATATCAAATCGTTGAACCCTCAGATTGGTATCTTACTAGAATCTTATTGAATTTGGAATCATCATAAAGCCTTCAGTTCCAATCCAATCCAATCCACAATAGCCAAACATGGAGGATTCCCTCTACCCTCCAACTCCAAGTTCCCAGCAACATCTTCTTGAACATAGGGAAGAGACAGAGACAGAACATCCTAGTTCCAAAACCAAATCACGTAAGAAGCTAGCTCTTCTGCCTCTGGTTTTTCTCATCTATTTTGAGGTTGCTGGTGGACCCTATGGTGAAGAATCTGCAGTGGGTGCTGCAGGTCCTCTCTTTGCCATCATTGGCTTTGTGGTGTTCCCTTTCATTTGGAGTATCCCAGAGGCTCTTTTAACTGCAGAATTGGCCACAACCTTCCCTGGCAATGGTGGCTTTGTTATATGGGCTAATGAAGCCTATGGTCCCTTTTGGGGATCCCTCATGGGGTTCTGGAAGTTCTTCAGTGGGGTCATAAACTTAGCCTCATACCCGGTTCTCTGTATAGACTATCTCAAATTGGTAATTCCAGCTTTGTCTTCTGGTTTACCTCGTTATGTGTCCATATTCATATCCACTTCTGTGCTATCTTTTCTGAATTATTCTGGTTTAGCAATAGTTGGTTATACTGCAGTTGCTCTAGGAATTATTTCCCTTTTACCTTTTGTGTTGCTGTCTTTGATTTCATTGCCTAAAATTGATCCCAGTAGATGGCTGAGTTTGGGTCAGGAAGGGGTGAAGAAGGATTGGACTCTGTACTTCAACACCATATTTTGGAACTTGAACTTTTGGGACAGTGCTAGTACTTTAGCTGGTGAAGTTGAGAAACCCCATAAAACATTCCCAAAAGCTTTGTTATTTGCTGGGTTGCTTACTTGTTTAGCTTATATAATTCCTTTACTGGCTGCCACTGGGGCCATGCCACTTGATCAACAAAATTGGGTTGGTGGGTATTTTGCAGATGTGGCTGGGGTGATTGCTGGGAATTGGTTGAAAATTTGGATGGAAATTGGTGCTGTTTTGTCAATTATTGGGTTGTATGAAGCTCAATTAAGCAGTGCTGCATACCAGCTTCTGGGTATGGCAGATTTAGGATTTATACCAAGAATTTTTGGTGAAAGATCAAGGTGGTTTAATACTCCTTGGATGGCCATTTTGATCTCAACAGTTGTAGCAATTGCCATGTCCTTCTTCACTTTCACAGAGATCATATCTACAGTTAATTTCTTGTACAGTTTGGGGATGCTTTTGGAGTTTGCATCTTTCCTTCGGTTGAGGAGAAAATTCCCAACTTTAAAAAGGCCATTTGAGGTTCCTTTGGGATTCCTGGGTCTAGTCCTAATGTGCTTGGTGCCATCTGTGCTTTTGGTCTATGTGATGACTATTGCTACCAAAATTGTTTATGTAGCTAGTGCTTTCTTGACCTCTTTTGGGATTGTGTTATATTATTTCATGAATCTTTGCAAGTCCAAGGAGTGGATTGAGTTCAGCCGCGTTGGAGATAAATTAGATGAAGATGATGATGATGATATTTTATAAAAATTGTGTATGATATGATTGTTGTTGCTGTTGTGATGATTACTATTTAGGGTGAAGCAGATTGGGTAGTAAATTTATTGGGAGTGGATCCTCTCACGTGAAAAAGTGGTCATGTGGTCATGTCATTTGATCACAACCACTAACCACTCATTAATAATGAGATAAGAAAGAGAAAAATGTATAATTTTTAAATGAGTGGTTGTGATCAAATAACATGATCACATGACCATTTTTTCACATGAGAAGATCCACTCCCAAATTTATTTATGTGAATATTCATTTGGGGTTGAAGAATCGGTTAGTTGTATTGTAATTTGTAAAGTATATTTGTTGAGGAGAAATCGGATTCTCCTCAGTGATTATTTGTTAAAAAATATAATTTGTCATGCAAACGCCCTCGTGACGATGTAGATTCCCCAATCAATTAGCAAAGTATTGTCGTTTAGTTCCAATTATCATTTTACTTGAAAATGGGGGATTTCGGGATTCCAACTTTATATGTTATTAAATTAAAAAGGTGTATAAACCCTTACGTCCCTTCCATTTTCGGAGAGATGCACTTACTTTTCCTGCTGAGGTAACATGTTTTAAAATATCTAACTCCCACCGTGCAGGATCCAGTAGAGGGGCCCCTTGTGGCTTGTAAGGTGTAGATAACTAGACATAGATCCAACCATTGGCATATATTTTGTATTTTTACCATTTATATTTCATAATAAATTAAAACATTTTTGTGATTAAAATTTTCTGTATTTATAACAAGAGAAAGGTAAGTATAATATTGCATGTATAAGTTTTATTCTGTAATTTATTTCAGAAAATATATAAAAAAAAATTCTTCCTTTAGATATTTTTCAAAATATGTCGGCTGATGTGAATTTTTTTAAGAGAAAAACATCTATCCTTTTAAAGGATATAATCTTATATCATTTTAGATCCTAACCGTTGATTTCCGTCCATCAACGATTATAATCTATTGGTCAAACTTAATGAGTCAAATTTATTATTAATTAATAATTTTGATCCAATAAACTATAGCCGTTGATGGACAGAAATCAACGGTTAGGATCTAAAATGATATAAGATTATATCCTTTAAAATGACAGATGTTATTTTCTTTTTTTATATTATAATTATATATTTTTCAAAATATATAAAAGATAAATTTAACGTACTATAATTATCATACTTTATTGGGTAAACAACTTTTCCTCAGGTGAAAGTTTTTTTTGGTGCAGACTCAATATCTCACAAACATCGAAATATATGATTTGTTTTTTTTGTTTTTTTTCAAAACAACCAGTCAACCCCACTAAAAAACTCTTTTGTCGAAAAAAAAAAAATTCTCATATAAAAGAAGAAGTTGTTTACCCTTATTTATTATTTATTAGACAACTTGCAGCCGACAACCGTGCTTTTCTCGTGGCAATCTCATGATGCAGCCACGAGCAGAGTATCAAGAAGCCACTTTTTTCCCACTTGATTTTTTTCCATCGGTGGATGTTAACACCTTGCTACATCCTTTGTATTAAAATATTAATGTTTAGTTGTAAAAAAAATGTTCATGTTTATTTCTGTCTAATTAACTTTGATTTAAAGATAATTTATGAGCAAGCCAAATATTTTATTTTCTATTCCTATTTTTGGATGGAGCTAATTTTTATTTTTTTATATTTATAAAGGGTTTTTTTATTAAAAATATGATTGATAATACAATTTATTTAATAAATAGTGTTATTCAATTGTAATAACACATTCTAATTAATATATATATATATATATATATATATATATATATATCACACTCCAGTCATATTAAAAAATTTGACACCAAATTTTAACCGTTAATAATTATATTTTATTGGATTATATTTATTAATTTTTAATAATTTATAATAATCAGATTTACAATAATTAACAATTAAAATTTGGTGTCAAATTTTTTAATACGACACCAATGCCAAATAATCCTGTATCTATATTACACACATATATATATATAATAAATAATAAGTAATGTGTCAGGAAAAAATAAAAATAAAATATTTTTATTTCTCTCTATTGATTTATTTTTGAAAACAGAAAAATAAAGTAGTTTTATCAGATAGTTTTTCTAATCAATTTTACTTTTCATACTAAAAAAATTAGAAATATTATTATGAATCCCCTTTATAATATGATATTCAAATTAAAAAAATAGAGACAAATGTCTTTAGATGCATTTATCTAATGATTGAAAAGTTATTTTTACAAAATTAAATAGAATCACGAATATGATATTTTCACATTTTATGTAAGCCATAAAAAAAATGTTTCTGTATGTTATTGATTATTAAGAAAATAATTTTCTCATATTTTGCTTGATTTTTATCATTAGTATGAGAGTTGGGTGTGTACTATGGAAATATAAATTATCTTATAACTCAACTATTAACTTTCGTTTCCGCTCCAATTCTTTTCTTATCACTTAAATTTTAAAAATATTTCTAAAATATTATATTTTAATTAAATATATTTTTAATTTAGTCAATAATAACATTCCTGAACACAGAGTTTCTGGAGATGTAATCATACAGCTTCAAAAAAATTCTGCCTTATTTCCATTTTTCTCTCTCAATATGAATAATTCTTAGGTAAACTTAATTTATCATAAATACTTAGGGTTTGTTTTTCTGATGTTACTTTAGATAACTTTATCTAATGTTCATCAAAACGACGTCGTTTTGGGACGGAAATCATGGTATTTTTGTAATTTTAATTTATTACTGGGTTATAATAGTCTTTATCACTCTAATTTTTTAATTTTTCAATCCTAAAACGACGTCGTTTCGATAAACATTAGATAAAGTTATCTAAAATAACATCGGAAACTTTTTTCCCAAATACTTAAATCATAGTCCTATTTTTAAAATATTTATATATATGTCAAATAGTAAATAATTTATTATATTATCCAATTAGTTTTAAAATAATGAAAAGTATTAAATGAAATTAATATATATATATATATATATATATATATATTACAACCGTTAGATTGACAGAAATAAACGGTTAAGATTTGATAGTAAGAGGTAGTAAGAAAAATAGATTGTAAATATAACATTTTTCATATATATATATATATATATATATATATATAACCAAATCCGTACGTTGCATGGAAAGTATGAACTATTTTTATTTATTTTTTTGGCAGAATCCAATTTGAGGAGAAAGTCATGTCCTCTCGCTCTATTCCTCAAGGATTTTTCAAAAATTTGCTTGAGACAGAATTTGAACCTCTAACTTAAGCAAATCTTTAAAAACTCAGTTGCCACTCAGCTACCCTAGGGGTTAAGTATGAACTATTTTATTATGATAATGTTTTAAGAGATCATGTATAAATTAATGTGCATGAATTTGTGCCCATATATTTATCAATCAATGGACGGTGACTCGAAAGGTAATATACCTAACTTATCTATTAGTATATTTGAAGATTCAATTGATTGAAGAATTGTTTGTCATTTCATAATAGGCTACAATTTTAATATATAATAAATATATTTACTTTTAATTAAATGATTCTTTAAAATAAATAATTTTTGTTTTCATACTTTCATTATCTACACAGCTAGTTACTTTCAAAAAACTTTTGGTATAAAATCTCAACTTTTTATTATAATATAAGGAAAAATATGAATATCCAGTAAAAAAAGAAGAAGAACAATATGAGTATCTATAAGGAAAATATACCAAATGAATAAAAGAGAGATTTTTAGTAAATATTTTGATTTAGGAACAAATTAAATATTCCACTTGTGTAAAAAAAAAAGTATTTGGAGAATTAAATGTGGTTTATTTTTTTAAAAAATTAACTACAAAATAAGAAATTAACAGTAAGAAACAAAATGATACCTAAATAAGAAAAATGTTAATAAAATTGTCACATCCTGTAATCGATGATTGTTAAATTTTGGATAAGTGACTATTATTTTAAAATATCTTGTCATACAAAAAATATCTAGCAAACTTTGTCAAATTCACTATATTATAAATTAGAGATTTGCATTCATCATGCAATATGATAACAAAAAGCATAGTTATTAAAATCGGACCGACCGGACCGGGTCGATCCGAGAACCGGTAAACTGGTCATATAACTGGTCCCGTTGAAGCAACGGATCGACCATACATCAAAACCAGTGTGATCCGATCCGACCCGTCAATTCTCATTAAAACCGGTGGCCTGGTCAGTTAACCGGTGACCCGGCCCGGTCCTAAAAAAACAATTCCAATTTATTTTTCGAAAAAAAATCATGATGGACATATTTGAATATTTTTTTGTTTATTGACTTACATAAGTTATGTACCTACAATACTAATATTATCTCAATTGTGCATTACGCAGACAATTTTGATTTAATTTATAGTTAGAGATGTTATTTTCTGAATTCAAAACCCTGTATTACGATCATTATATTTTTATTTGATCCTTTATTAGATAATAGTATGTGATTTATTATTTTTCATATTAAAATATTTGAAATTTTTATTATTCTTTTTAGATAGTTGAGTATGTTTATAATTTTTTAATATAAATTATAAAATTGCATATAATTATCGGGTCATGCGGTTGAACCAGTGACCCACTGACCCAGTACATCAACCGGGTCAATGACCGGGCCGGTTTTAATAACATTGACAAAAATTTTCCTATACACACAATATTTTGTGGTGCTCGCATTTTTTAAAGGAAAAAAAAAACTACGGCACGAAAAATAAATCTCTATAACATAACACAATCACTTTTCCTACAACATAATTTTTATAAAACCCTATAAATTATGGGGAAAAATATTGTAACAACCAATTAGTGTTATTATCAATGTTATTACCAATCAATTTTATCGTTAGATCGATTATGTTGATCCAACGGTTATATTTATTTTTATTTTTATATGATTATGATTTTTCATATTTAATACTTTATATTTATTTACACCTTTGTATGGTTATAATTTTCCATATTTACATTAAATATGAGAAATCATAACCATACAAAGATGGAAATAAAATATAAACGTTGGATCAACATAATCGATCTAATGATAAAATTGATTGGTAGTAACATTGATAGTTACACTAATTAGTTATTATAATATTTTACCCCATATATTATAGTGCATAAATACACTTTAACATTCTTATCGTTGATTTTCTTTATATAAGTGCGGATAGTAGTGAATTTAGTGATTATCTCTACTTAATAGATATTTTTTTTTTGATAAACTATATATATCCTCCACCGGAGGCAATTCTGTTCTGTTCGGGGCGAGTTCAGGACAAA